GATGAGTATGAAGTGAGATACTATATTAACAGCACCTTGCACAACATGTGGTCCAGAAGAAGGTCTTCATAACTGTCAGGTAGGATTACAGATTTCTGTCCTACTGGGTCCATGGCATTTTCCTTTGCCATATTCCTCCTTTGTAATATTCTGTATTATTTATTATTATTATTGTTATTATTATTATCATTACCATTATCATTATTTATTCCATTGGAGCACATAGTTAAGCCTGGAGATCAGACCCAGGACACAGCTTAGCTAATGTCCATTACATTAACTTCACATAAGCTCACAATTCATTGAGCTGATACTCTGAACCCGACACAGGGCTTGAGGCCTGGGGCGTCAAAGGTGAAGAGACACATTCCCTGCTCTCAGCGGAGCTCACGTTGTGTGTGGAGTGTTGACCAGGATGCGATCCTCTGCAAACACGTAGAAGCAATAAATGGACACGTGAAAGTGAGACCGAGGAGGAAGGCCTTTACTACGGGAGGAGTGGGAGGCGGTCTCACGGAGAGGCTCTGCATGAATACAATGTTTCTGACCAGAAAAGAGAGGAGTCCTTCCCGTTAAAAGGAGCAGCGTATAGAACCTGCTAGAGTCCTGAACAATCTAATGTTCTCAGGAAACCTCACCGTGGTTTGGTGTGGTAGCATTGAACACAGACATGCATGGCCAGGAGGGAAAGGGGCCCTTCTGCTAGAAGGGGCTTTAGGAAGGCCCTCCTGCCCATGGTGCCAGTTGATACTGAAGGGGAAAGAGGCCAGAGACGGAGATCATTGGTGAGGGTGTGGCAAGAGAGCAGGCGTCTGGGTCAGCTTGCAGGGCTCTGACAGGTGCACAGAGGGCGGCTCCCGGAGCAGACGTTTGTATCTCACAGACCCGGAGGCTAAAGGTCCAAGATCAGGGTGCTGGCTGGGCAGGCTCTGGCTTGCAGAAACTGCTTTATTGCTGTGCAGTCACGTGGTAGGGAGGAGGAGGGAGAGTGGGGGAGAAAGCAAGATAAAGAAGGGAGAGGAGGAGGAGAAACAGAAGGAGGAGAAGGAGAAAGGGGAGGGAGAGGAGGAGGAGGAGGAGGAGGAGGAGGAGGAGGAGGAGGAGCAGAAGAGGAAAGGAGGAAGGGAGGGGAGGAGAGGAGGAAAAGGAGAAGGGTGGGGAGGGGAGGAGAAGGAGGAGAGGGAGGAGGAGGAAGGGGAGGGGGAGGAGGAGGAGGAGGAGGAGGAGGAGGAGGAGGAGGAGGAGGAGAAAGAGGAAAAGGAGGAAGGGGAGGGGAGAAGAAGGAGGAGAGGGAGGAGGAGGAGGAGGAGGAGGAGGGGAGGAGGAGGAAGAGGAGGAGGAGGAGAAAGGGGAAAAGGAGGAAGGGGAGGGGAGGAGAAGGAGGAGAGGGAGGAGGGGGGGGAGGAGGAGGAGGAGGAGGAGGAGAGGGAGGAGGAGGAGGAGAGGGGAGGGGGAGGAAGAAGGAGGAGAGGGAGGAGGAGGAGGAGGAGGAGGAGGAGAGGAGGAGGAGAGGAGGAGGAGAGAAAGAGGAAAAGGAGGAAGGGGAGGGGGAGAAGAAGGAGGAGAGGGAGGAGGAGCGGGAGGAGAGAACCGACAGCTTTCCTGTCTCTTCTCATGAAGGGCATTAACCCTATCATCAGGGCTCCACCTCTCCAAGGCTCCATCTCCAAGTACTGTCACCTTGGGGATTGGGGTTCCGATGTACGCATTTCAGGGTGACACAAACATTCATTTCCTGGTACCAGCTAGTGACCCGAGGGCCTGAGAAAAGGCAGAGGAATGGGGACACAGAGGAGCGTGTGGCTTTGAGACATCCTAGAAAGCAGAATCCATAGGAATTAGTGGCATTTGGGTGATGGGGTAATGAGCTGAGCTGAGGGACTTCCAGCTTTCTGGATTGGACACCTGGTCACCCCTGGGGTTACCTGGATGACCTAGAGGAGCAGACCACAGCGCTGCTCCATGAGAAGGGATTTCAACTCCTTTCCCTGTGGCTCACGACTTTCCCAGATATGATCCATCGCACCTGCTTCTGAATAGCTGTCCTCCCTGTTCCCCAGCCGTGGCTCAGAGGGGCTGTCTCCTTGCTGTCCCCCCCTCCCACACCGCTGCTTCCCGCCTCTGGAGTTCTGATCACAGCTCTCAGTCCACATGGCACTCGCTCTCTATTCTCCACCTACTCTCTCCTTGCAGGTGAGTCTGCTCTCACCTGCCTCAGGGAGCTTTCCCAGCCACTCAGAAAGAGCCGCTCCCTGCTCCATCTGACCGCCCAGTACATGCATCTGGTTTTCCGTGGCACATACAGCACTATGTTCTCACCACCGTGTCTCTTCCCGGCCACACAGGGAGGTGCCTTAGCTCCAGCTTCTCTGTAGTAAGTGTTTTCACCCCATGTGCCCACGTCCTCACCAAGGGGCATGTGAGCAGAAGCAGCTAAGCATGTGGGGAGCTCTCCGGTTTTGTCTCTTCTGTCTGTGCTTTTGAAGGAAGAGTTCTAAAAGGGAGGAGAATGGATAAGTTCACTTCAATTGGCCAAAGAGAGATAATTGGCTTTATTTTTAAATGTATCTTTATTGTTGAAAGTATTACATTGACCCCTTCTAGCTGGCATCTGTTTCAGCCCCAGGCCTTCACCACACTATTGTCTGAGTCTATGGTTATGCATGTATGCATATAAGTTCTTTGGTTAATCTCTTCTCACACTCCCCCTCCCTCTCTCATGCACACACCTTCCCTCTGAGATTCATCAGTCTGTCCCAGGCTTCCATGTCTCTGGATCTATTTTGCTCTTCAGTTTATTTTGTTCTTTAGAATCCACATATGAGTGAGATCATGTGATACTTGTCTTTCTCTGGCTGGCTTATTTCGCTTAGCATAATGCTCTCCAGGTCCCTCCATGCTGTCTCAAAGGGTAAGAGATCCTTATTTTTTACTGCTGCATCGTATTCCATGATGTAAATGTCTCACAGCTTTTCTTATCCACTCACCTACTGATGGGCACTTGGGCTGTTCCAAATCTTAGCTATTGTAACTTGCACTGCTATGAACATAGGGGTACATACATTCTTTCCGATTGGTGATAATTGACTTTAAATTAGGCTTTATGTGAGTGACCAAAAACAAGAACAACTAAAGCTTCCTATAGTAAACTACCAAGATTTGGAGATTCATTTGTTAACACAGCAAAGCATGACCTATCCTGACTAATCTGACCTCTAATGCTTGGTGTCCCCTGTGGCGTAGGAACAAACCTGGGATCCCTTTGTCATTTCACACTGTGCTTTTCTTCACTCCTAGTAAATATCTTTTGAATGAAATTGAACCTTGGTTTGATGACTTAATGAAAAAAGACTCTCAGATGGGAGATAAAGTGATAACCCAGTATTTACAGCCTCATCCCACTTTTGTTTGCTCCACTTAAAAAAAAAAATACTTACCTGTCTTTATTTAATGCCTTGTGTACCTGCAAGTGTTTCCTCAGATTAGAAAATGAACATCTCAGCTGGTCAGACCTTCAGAATCTCTGCTAGTCATATTCCACTGAATTACCCTTTGCATTTATGAGCAGAAGAGAGATACAGAAAATTAAACTTGTCTCATTCTGATTACTGAAGTCCTTTGGTAGAAGAAGTAAACTTGTACTTGTATTTTAATTTTTTTAAAGGGACTTGGGAATGCTGACCTGAGCCAAAGTGTAGTTAGGCGTTGCTATGCTACCAGCGAGACTAGGGCCACTTCCCTACTTGTGTACAACACAACCCTTTATTGCATTCCCCCTTAATATCTCTGTTTGGATGTAACGCCACCAATTTGAAATGTGTATATATTGCTTCCTGCCCTTGAGGACCTTCGTCAAAATGAGATATTTTAACTAAAATGAGACACTCACAATTTCCTCCTGCCCTGTATTTATTTTGTCATAAAACCCCATGCATCCAGGAGACTGTGATTTTTCAAGTTTATTATCTCAAAAGTGATTTTAGAAATATTACCAAATAATAATACACGATTGAAAAGCAAAGGAGAAATCCCGTCTGGATGACAGTAGCTATTTATAAAATCCTCCAGCCATCTTCTCCCAGGTTGAGGTACAGGCGGAAATGCTCAGGTAACTCACAGGGCTGGTTTCAATAGAAAATTTGAACCAGAGCACTTTCTGGTGTGTTTCTGTTGTCTTGTGTTTAAATGCAAGTTGCACGTTGAAACCAAATTCTTCTGATTTTAGAAAATTTTAGAAAGTGTATGCTTATATATAAATATATATATTTTTCTGCTGAGGGGTCTTTCTGGAAGGAAGGGAGGGAGGGAGGGAGGGAGGATGATGAACTAAAAGTCTGTCTTCTTTCCTTTTGTCAACACTGTTGTCCTAACTGGAGGAGGGGAGGAGAGTGGGGGGGTGGGGGTGGGGTGGGGGGGAGGAGGTTAGACCTGGATGGGGAATCAAGAGACTTGGGCCCTTGCTGAGCCATGGGCTCTCTGGGTGGCGCTGCATTACACATGCCTTCTTCTGGGTCCTCTGTTGATCATGTGAATTAGGTAGCTTCTGAGGCTCCATGTGGCAGTCCACCAGGAGCGCACAGAATCAATCAGAGAACATCCTCCAATCCCACGTTCCTGGGCTCCATTCGGGACCTATTGAATCAGAGCACCAAGGGAGGGGGGAGCAAGATGTCGATAGTCTATAGAGCGTTTTAGACCAGATTGGCATGGATCCATGAGTCAGCATCCTATGGATGCAAGCATTCCATAAAGTTTTGGTGATGAACGGGAGAGGGAGGGAGGAGCCAGGGGCCAGGACACAAAGTCTTCAGTGGGGACGTATAAATAGCCCGAGTGGCTGATGGCTGCAGAAATGGGTCACCAACAGGCCTGGGCACACTGAAGCTTAGGCCTCACACCTCCTCCATCATCTTGGCCAGGGTGTGTGTGTGTGTGTGTGTGTGTGTGTGTGTGTGTGTATGTTTTATAGTGTCTGTTTGAAGTGATGATGATTGTTTTTAAAATACAGTCTGGGCCTCTCCACAGGTCCCCAGCAGCTCTAAAGGATGGAGTAAAACCCGTTTGCACCTCATCCAGTTAGGCGACCTGTCTTAGATGGGCCCCTAACAGAAGAATTAGAGCGGCATGGAGAGAGTGGAACCAGATTGTGAAAACCGGTAAGCCCGCCCTTTGTCAGGAGGCGACTCCATGCTGGGCAGCCTGCATCGATAAATATCTGTAGGTGCCATTCCATGCAGTGGCTTTAGTGTGGGCAGAGTGAAAAGGAGGGAGGGAGGCAGGAGCAGGGCAGTCAATGTCTTTCTGGGCTGGGAAGGGAGCAGAGAGAGATTTACACACCACTGTAAGGTAACGAGAAGGAGTAAGAGGGCCAGAGCCAGTACAGACAGAGCCTGGGATGCAGAGCAGGGGCCGTTGATTGTGGCCGGTCAAGCGGGGAAGCTTTCCAGAAAGGGACCTGTCCGCTGGGCCAGGATTCTCTTGTGCTGACTTTGGGAGGGTCCGGGAGGAAGATTCTAATTCTAATTATTACTGGCTCTTTTATTTTGTTTTGTCTCAAGCAGTAGGAACTCCTTCCTAATGGACTAATCTAAGAGGAAGGCCTTACCATGTGGTCCTCCCTGAAATGCTGCATGCGCCCTCTTAGAGCCATGCTGTCTGTCCGCAGGTCTGTGTCATTTCCTCTCGGGACTGTCTGCTTCATGAAGGGAGGTACTGGCTCTGCCGCGGCTTCGATGCTCTGCCTCGCCTCACGGTGCTGGGCACACAGTAAGTGCGGCATTGATGCAGGTGAATAAATAAAATGATTCATGCAGATCAGTGGGATACTCATGATTCATGGCTGAGGACATTGGTAACTACAGCATTTCATTGGGAAGGGCCCAGGAGAGGTTACCCTCTGCACACGCCTCCCTAGCGTCGCTCTGGGCTAGATCCTAGACAGCGCCCGCTCCCCTTCACAGGTGGAAGCCTGAGACACAATCGCATGGAATGCAAATCCAGAGCTAAATACTGATCATAACCTCTCCCATTTGCATTTCAGTTTAGAGGTCGCCACAGTGTGAGGGGAGGCACGTGGCTTATTTGTGTTTTACAGGTGAGGACCTCAGGCTCAGAGAGGGGCAGTGTCAGGTGAAAGGTTATTGAGGGAGATGGGGGCTTAGTGAAATGATGCTACAATAAACAAGACACATTCACAGCTAGGATAGGTCCTGACAAAATACTTGGTCTGAATTGCATGAGAATGCACAGGTAGGAGACATTTCAATGGCAGACAGGGGGGCTGGGGCAGGTGGGTGGGGTGGAAGGGACATGGACTTGGAGCTCAGGAGATTTAGGTGTTTGTCCCCACTCTCCCAGAGACTTACGTCAACTGGGGAAGGGTGTCTTGTCCTTTGTCTAGGCCTCGGTTTCTTTATCCACAAAAGGAGAGAAATAGTTTATTTGTAGTTACTTGTGGCTCAAATATGCTATTGACACAAATCTATGGAGATACCATACTAGAAGACAAAGACAGCCTGAATTATCTCCGAAAAATGCCATACTTGACTGATTTTTATGATGCAAAGCATTCTTTATAGGTAAAATTATATTTAAATCAAATTACACCCCCCACCAAGATCCTTCAGTGTTGGGGGCCTATAAAGATGATTGAGAGATGATTGAGATACAGAGGTCATCATTGGAGCTGTTTGTAATATTTGTCAATGTCATGTGATCATGGAGTGAGGATGAAGCATGGGCCACTGACTCCCAGGCTCTCGTCTCTCCTGTCACCAGGTCTGGCGATGGAATAGTGGGTCACCTCGGCTCCACTAGCCTGATGACCTCAGACACATGCTCCGTTTCTTCCTTTAAAATCAGGACTAAAATGACCAGCCTCGTCTCTTGCCTCTTGCCAGGGAAGTCTTATGAGGGTCACGTGAGATCACCTATGTGAGAGCATGTGGTGAGCTGTCGAGCCCTGTACAAAGGCTTCAGTGAGTGTAAGTTAGTTATTGTGGCCTCTGGTCATCCGTGTGGCTATGGGGACAGTGACCCCTACCCTTGCCAGGATCACTCGACTCTGGCCTCAAAGTTGGGCTTAGGGGGGGAAAGTGAAACTCTTGCTGTTGGCTTTAGCTGAATCCCTCGAGTTAGCTGGCGTGCTTCCCAGAACCTCATCAAAACAGAGCAGGAACCAAGGGGGTTGGCCAGCCAGAACGGAAAGTGAAACATCAGGCCTCAGCGCTGCTGGGCGCTTAACAGCATGAAAGGAGTCTTACTTCTCTGTCCTTATTAGGGCCCTGCGTTATCACAGCGTGTGACCTTGAACGAGTCACTTCCCTCTCTGAGCTCGAGTTTCTTGCTCTTTCCAATTTTAGGAGTTTGAGGGGGTGATTTCTGGATTCTGTCTGTCCTGGTGACGTAAGAAGGGTTTTTAAGTGAAGGGTCAGTTCACATATGAAGCAGCGTCAGGGCCCCTCCAGCACTGGTGCTTTAAGCTTCAGGGAGGCGCCTGCGTAGCCTTGTGCTGAGCTGAGTGGCCTTGATTGGAACACAGGCCCGCTGTGCTCTTGGAGAGGTGACAGCAGCTCAGAAGCCTTGAGTGTGAGCTCTTTAGCAGCTGTGAGTCACAAAGCTTGGGCAAAGATCGGAGTCAGGCCATATGAGCTGCAAAGCTCACCCCCCTCGCCTGCCGCCAGAAGACTGCTCTGCCTCCTGTACCCCTGTGGGCACCACGACCCCTGAGCTCTGTACTGCAGACGCGCTGTCCCTGAGGCAGGGATGGACAGCGCGTACCTACCAGTTAGGGGGCTGGATAATTAGGCAAGAATGCAGGGCGCAGAGAGGAAAGGGAAAGAAAAGCAAGAACGTTATTATCGTGATAACAGCACAGTGGTTTCCGCTGGGTGAGAGGGAGGCAAGGAACCCTGCCCTCTGGTTCTGGTTCAGAAAACATTAGTTCTATGTCATTCTTTTTATTTTTGAGAGAGAGAGGAAGGGAGAGAGAGAGAGAGAGAGACCTGTTGCCTTCCATATGAGTCCCAAAAGGGGCTTAAACCCACACCCTGGGCATGTATCCAACCAGTAATTGAACCTGCAGCGTTTTGGTGTGTGGGACAATGCTCCAACCAACAGAGCCACCCAGGCAGGGTTATTTCTTCTTTATTTAAACTTGGAGGCATTTATGTGGCCGATCACTTTCTGATTATTCATTAAACGTTCACTGTTTTATGCACCTCACTGTGCCATATTTATTGCAGTTTTCAAGTGTGAATTTATTCCTTGGTGCATGCAAAGCAGGTAAAGCACTGTCAACAAGCAAGCATTTAGTAAGTGTTCTTACCAGGGCAGTGGTCCTGCGGCCTGAGGCAAGTTGGGAGCACCACCCTCATCGCCCAGTCAGACCCCATGGGCTTACGTGATTCCCGGCGGGAAGAGGTGCCTTCACACGTGGCTGTGCTTGGGAAGAGTTGCAGTTCTATCCCTGGGTCCTTCTGTCAGTGGAAAATGTGTTTCTAACGAGCCTTATTCCTTTCCTTTCTCTCCTTTCTTCTCTCTCTCTCTCTCTCTCTTCTCTTTCTCCCCTGCACTTTCTCTTAACAGACATTATCAGGTCCTTGCCATGTGGCCAACACTACTGGGTATAAAACCAAAGATGAAATGACAGGGGATTCTGCCCTTCTGAGGGTGAGAAATGTGCCATGGATAATGGGTGTGCAGACAGATCAGTACCTTAATGTGGTAGAAGGTCCAGCCCCCCATATTCTTTTTTTTTTTTTTTAAATATATTTTATTGATTTTTTACAGAGAGGAAGGGAGAGAGATAGAGAGTTAGAAACATCGATGAGAGAGAAACATCGATCAGCTGCCTCCTGCACATCTCCCACTGGGGATATGCCTGCAACCCAGGTACATGCCCTTGACCGGAATCGAACCTGGGACCTTTCAGTCCGCAGACCGACGCTCTATCCACTGAGCCATCATATTCTTATCTGTAGGCCTGGAGATGTGTTTTGGAGGCATTTGGGCACATCCCAGGAAATGGTAGTAGTTGTCATTGTCATAAAAGAGTGTTATCAGCAGGTCCTAGCTGGCAAGCCTATGGGGCTGGGGTTTCTAAGCTGGCTTCTGAAGGGCAGGTGTGATGGTAATTGACAAGGCAGAGTGGGAAGGACATTTCAAATCTAGTTTTTGCAATTTAAGCAGAGTGATTCCTTCCCCCCCCACCCCCAACCAAGCCCCTAGAAATACAAAGGGAAGGGCCAGTGGCTTAGGCTGACCTGCTAGGCAGTATTACCATGTGTGGGCAAAGGTGTGCTTACCTGCTCACTACACCATGCCTCCTTGCTTTATGGAGGACCTCCTGGAATTTCACAGTAAGCCAACTTCCTTGTTGTTAGAATAAAAAAAGTAATGCTATATCAGCCTAACCTCAAACACTGAAATATGCTATGTAGCTTTAGTAATTGGTTGTGGATTTCTATCTTTTGTGGGGTAGCAGTTTGTTTTAACATAATTTTCTCTTTAAATGTTTTATTTAGTTTGCTCCAGCTTTAAAACACAATGATAATATAGGGGATGCTTTCTTTAAAGTTCATATTTACTTGAGTCAACATGCTAACTACATCATGGGAGTTACTTAAAACCTTAGGTGTATGTGCTAACTCTTCATTCCAGAAAATTCAGTGAATGTGTCTGGATTCACAGCCAGCTATAGACGAGGTTACCGGGAGCTCAGTGGCAGGCAAGGTGACCTTCCTAGCTCCTTGCAAAGTCCACAAATGTCTGTCTTCTACATCTGCCTGCTCTCTGTGCTACTTTTGTTCTGCTTTCTGCCCCTGGCTCCCTCCCTGCCCCTCTCCAAGTCCTGTCCCCTGCTGGACCTACTGTCCAGATCCTGTCCCTTCAATTGCTGAACCCCATCTACGCATTTCCTCTGGCGGGACCCTTGCTCCTTCCCAACTGCTTTCCCCGAATTCCTTCCTAAATAGTCTACGTGGACCTCTGATTGGCAGAGCCCGTGGTTCTGAGCAGAAGGTTCTTCCACGTGTTTACCTCTGGTTCTCCTCTACACAGAGCAGAATCCAAACGTCAACCGCATCTGCATGTCACAATAAAAATGGCCACATTTTCGCCTCTCCTGTCTGACGTGTTGGCGGCTCCGATTTTAAAGGAATAATTGCTGACAAAGTGCCGCTCAGCCGTTGCTAGAAACGTGTGTTCTTACTGGTTCTTTCCGCGGGAAATTGCAGGAATGGCGCGCGGGAGGGAAGAGGGTCAACACATGACCGCTAATGTGATTAATTAAAGGGCTTAGAATACGCGACAGTAGGTATTTAGCGGTACCTTGGGGGTGGGGGGGTTAAAGCTGGTTAAACACATGGGTGGAGGGGGCAGATTAATGAATGACTCAGCGGCTGTGAAAGGGGTTGGAGCATTTTTCAGTGGAGCAATTAATAAACATCTCTTCTGCCACATTATATGTGAGGGAACGCACGTTAATCCTTTAAATGCTTTCACCCTCTGTAATTAGGTAATTAGTTTTAGGAAGCAATGTAACAAATGCACAAGGAGAAAGAAAAACAACAAACGTAGATGAATACATAAGAGCCTTTCATTTAATATCAAATCAGTACTTTCTAATTTTCTTTCTTTTTTTGTTTTGTTTTGTTAATCTCATTGGAGGATTCCCCGCTGTCCCCCATTTATTTTTAGAAGGAGTGGAAGGGAGGGAGGAAAGGAGAGAGAGAGAGAAAGAGAGAGAAAGATCAATTGGGTCTGGGGATGGAACCTGCAACCCAGGTATGTGTCCTTGACCAGGAATCAAACCCACAACCTTTAGGTGCTTGGGCTGGCACTCTAACCACTGAGAAACCCTGGCCAGGGCTCTTATTTTATTTTTTAAGTTACATTCATTGGGGTAACATTGGTTAATAAGATCACATAGGTTTCAAGTATACATTTCTATGACCTGCATATTGCATTGTGTGCGGTAGTAAAAGGTAAAGGGCCCAAATGTATGGTGATGGAGGCTGATTCGAATCAGTACGTACTTCCTATTTCTTCTCTTGTTCAGGTGTCACAGTCTTCCCAGGAGTCTCACTGCCTTTCCACAAGGGGGGGCTGGTTTGTGCCCCGAAAGAAAAGCACGGCCCGTAGTACCGAACTAGGAGCCTCCTGCACCCCCATTAAGTGCTTTTTAGGATAAGCCAGATAAAGTGTGACGCCTCGCCTGACCTTTGCCAGGTAAGGTACTAAGTGCTTTATGGATATTATTTCATTGAATCTTCATAACAACCCTCTTCAGTAGATACTACGAGGTAGAGGCCATTCTACCCATTTTACAGATAAAGTAACCGAGGCCCAGGAAACTTACATTGCTTGAGGATATATACTCCTCATGAACAGTGCACTTAAGATTGAACCCCGTACTCAAGGGACTGTTATCTTAATCCAGCTTTGTGATTCTATGGCCAATTTTATATGTTCCACAGGGTTTCCTGGAAGTTAAAAATTAGTGAATGGACCCAATTAAACAAGAGTCCTCACCAATGTAGAACTAGATGTTTCGGAAGGGCATTGAACAAGATCTCTCCTACTTTGAGAATGCCTAAAGGGTTAGCTTCTGTCAGCCTGGTTGGGTATTCCCCTATGCTCTTCATGTAGCTCAGCGGTTCTCAACCTGTGGGTCGCGACCCCTTTGGCGGTCGACCGACCCTTTCACAGGGGTCGCCTAAGACCATCCTGCATATCAGATATTTACAATACGATTCATACCAGTAGGAACATTACAGTTATGAAATAGCAACGAAAATAATTTTATGGTTGGGTCACAACATGAGGAACTGTATTTAAAGGGCCAGAAGGTTGAGAATCACTGATTGTAGCTGAAAACATCAAGTCATGACCTTGTAGCTCTGTATGTAGTGCTGGCCCTGACACTGAGCCTGGGCAGACCCCTGAGGGGACCATGGTGTGTGGGGGCTGGAAGCCTGGAAGCCCTGGCTTTGGGAGGTAAGCGTAGAATGGGGAGAAAACGCGCGTCCATCCAGAGTGTCCCTGGTAAATGGTTTGGAGTCGGCCCGCTCCCCATTCTCTACCTGCCCCTCTGCTGTCAGCAGGTTCACCGCCTCGCACATGACACTGTCCCCAAGGAACACAGTGCAACTCTTCTCGGTGAGTCTTCACCCGCTTCTTCTTCTCATCCTCCACTTACCCTTTTGCTATTTCATCTCTTGGATACCAACCTTCTGTTTCCTATTTGGTTTCCGTTTCCAACCTGTTTGATTTCTCTATTTTGACTCTTCATGCTCTTTTTGGACAGATTTTTTATTTTTCATCCTTTCTTCATTTCTTGTTTCCACTGGGCAAACATTTAGTGGCATGTATGCTACACCTTGGCTGCGCAGACATGAAGGAGCCGGAACGCCCACCCACTGGCAAGGCGCTCACAGTCCATTAAGAGAGGAAGACCCAGGGCAGCAGGTGCTGTGCGCAGTTGTTATGAAAAATGAACGCATAGTTACTGACGAGACCCCGAAAGACATGCGTGCGTGAGGAACAGAGCGCCCGGTGCACGGGGAAGGCCAGTGGGAGGAAGTGACGCGGCCTAAGGTGAGAAGGGCGGTGGGTGCCCAGCCCTCTGTATGTTCCTGCTTCTGTCACCTCAGACAACACCGTGGCCGAATCAGTTCATCAAGCCCTTGGCATTGTCGGCCTCTGACTCTCCCGGTTCGGCCGGTGCCCCTGGGAAAGGTGGTGGAACCTCAGGGCAGGGTCCCCTCCTCTGTTCTCCTCCATGGTTCTCAGGGCTCTTCCCCCAGTGGGTTTTGTTTACTACTCTGTGAACCTTCAGGAAATCCCACTCTTCAGTCTCCTGCCCTGTGTGCCTTGGGAACTGGGTGTATCTTTCTATAGTGAGACCCATCTCTTTGAAGTGGGGCAAATTCCTGATTTTGTCGCTGCAGTCCTTTGTCCCCAATATACTTCTCAATTGCAGAACCAAACTTACTCTTTAAAAATTCCCTCTCAGTGAGTATGATGCTTCCCCCTCCACAAGCCTTCTCCATTTTCTAGGACTTCTCAAACTTAGCAAAATGACAGCAGTGCAGCCTCATGCGGAAAATCTCCATCAGTCTGTTATTCTGCTAGGTATGGCAGGATTCACTTCAGGAACCCACAGCAGCTGTTCCAACCAAGAGTCACAATTGAACAAAGCTTCATTCATCCGAGGCTAATCCAAAGTTGATTTAGACTTTAAGGTTAAATTGATGCAGCGAGTCACTGGTTAGATGAAGCCGACACTGAATAATACATACTTTAATGCTTAAAAACTATAGTTTATTTGGGACATCATATTGTACTTTATCTCTACTTTTTTTTTCTTTCTGGAAAATGTTAAGTGGCTTTTGAACATCAGAAATAAAATTTTGATCTCTCTCACCCTTGATCAACAGACCCACAGATGTTCATCTCTTAAGTAAGGAGATTGCTGGGAGTTTCCTTGCCTTGTCCAGGATGTGGGGCAGGATAGGTAATCCATGAAGCTTCTCCAGGAGGTATTAGGGTCCTGAGCTGCCTTTCTCAATAAGCACCAGACACCATGCAATGGATTGAGTTGTAAGGTTTGGATTCTAGCCAGGCTCTACTACCAACCAATTCAGCTACTGTCCAGAATCACATTTCTTCTCTGGACCCAACTTCATTCTATCTGTAAAAATGAGGTAGGGTTTAAGGGGGAGGGGCAGGAGCCTCAGTGGTTCTTGAGGGGGAACAGACAGGGAACAGTGCCCCTCTCCTAGGGGCTGAGGGGAATTATGGTGATGTCTCTGGCTGCCACAATGACTAAAGGCAGTGCGAGAGCCTGAGACCAGGTACGTTTTGTTAAACGTTTCATACACTGAAGAATTTTACCAACCAAAATGCTCGTCAGTCCTTTTCCTTCAGAGAAATACCAGCAAATGAGCTCTTTTTTTTTTTTTTTTTTCTGGCACTGGTTGTCCTAAACAGACTACACTGAAGCTTATTTTGCCTTTTCCTAGAAGTTCCCCATTCCAGAGAGAATTCTCTAGAACTTAGATTCAGAGTGCCAATCCATGAATGTCCTATCTTTCCTTTTTCATACTTCTTTGAAATTATGTCAGGATTCCCCAGGCTTTTATCGATAATTCCATGGTGATCAAATATATACAACTGGAGGCCCGGTGCACAAATTTGTGCACCAGTGGGGTCCCTCGGCCTGGCCTGCAGGATCAGGCTGAAATGGGCTCTCCAATATCCCCCCGAGGTGCCCCGAATTGTGAGAGGGTGCAGGCCAAGCTGAGGGACCCCACCTGTGCATGATCAGTGTCAGAGAGGGATGCGGGAAGTTGGCCAGCCTGGGACAGAACCATGGGAGGGTGCCAGGGCATGTCTGGCCCATCTTGCTCAGTCCGGATCAGCTGGACCGCAGTAGCAAGCTAACCTATTGTTGGAGGTCAGTGCACATCATAGCGACTGGTCGACCAGTCGACTATCTTCCCCCTGGTGGTCAGTGCACATGATAGCAAGCGGTTGAGCAGCCTTAGCATATCATTAGCACATTATGCTTTGATTGGTTGAACGGACAACTGGACACTTAGCATATTAGGCTTTTATTATATAGGATAGCTTCACTTTCTGTCATTGCTGTTTTCAGCATCAGGTGAACTGACTCTATGTTCCTTTTCCTTTTTCTTTTATTCTTTTTTCAAAGGGAAAGATCATGGGAAGCATTTCCCTTCTGAATCAGAGGGCTCTTCACTGAGCTAAAATGCCCTTTATTTTTACAGTTCTTTTCAATGCTTCTTTGTTCCATGAAGCCTTCTGTTGACAGTCTGCCCAAGAGGCTTAATATGAGACTTGAGGAGGATGGATGAGAGATTGAAGGTCGGGGAACAAGTTAGCAAGCCTGGCATTCTTGCTGTTTCCTCTTCCTTAACCCCTCATTCTTTATTGTTCCACTGAGATTGAAAATCCCTCCTCAGTAGCTTTCAAACATACAAATGTTAATATCACTGTCCTATTTGCTCATTGACTTTTGGCATGAATTAAACAATAGGTGTTATACAAGAAGAACATTTTGACCATAAAAAATTCAGATGTTAAGATCCTAAAGCATTTCACCTGTACTCCCCCTGGTTCTCCCTCCTCTTCTGTCTCACCCACTCTCTCCATCTTCTTTTCCTGCCCCCACTTCCCTCTTCCCTTTCCCTTCACTATCTCTGATGACCCGACATAGTCTTTTCATCCAGGTGGACCAAGTTTTCTGAGTCCTTACTTTTGCAGAGAGCACTGTGCTAATTCTGGGATGAAGAAGAGAAATGGTCTAGATGTCACTCTCAAAGATCTCCCTTTTTGGAAAGAAGATGCACATGTAACAGCTGGTTCTAACTGACTGTGTTTTATGTAATAGTGGGGTTCTCTCCAACGTATAGAGAGCAGCAGGGAGCAGTTGGCCTTGCTGGGGAAATTGGGAAGGGCCGTGTTCATTGGGTGTCACTGGGAGATGTCTGAGCAAGTGACTCAGCAGTTCCTGGGCAGTCAGGGTAGGAGGGTGGTTCCAGTAGAGAGGGCAGAATATGGAAAGTCACTGAGGCGTGAGAGACCAAGGCACATGTTGGAGCAATTCAATCATCCATGTCAGTAATAGACAATGTGGAGAGAGGAAACCTGAGGTCAGTCCTGAGGACCCTGGCATCTCTACTGCCCTTTGGACAGTGGCTTCCTAACATGTTCAGCCTTGAAGATCCTTGACGTTTTGCATGGAAGCCACAATGTACTTGGTGGCTTGTCTTGCTGACACAGGTGAGGGAGCTTCGACTGGCTTTCTCCTTCCTGGAAAACCACCAGAGCAGAATGTGGTCACACTTGTGTTTTTAGTGGGCTCTCAACAACGTAGTGTTAGAGGAGGAAAGCTGCCCACAGTTGGGGAGAATGGGAGGGGCGGTGAAAGCATTCACTTGCTGGGATGCTATTCTAGATGAAGGCCTGGACCTGTCTTTCTACTCAGGAACCCGGGGAAGCAGCCTTCCAGAAAAAGAAGTGCTGGCGACATGAGCTCACTCTGCTAACGTGCTGGGAAGCATTAACAAAACAAAACAAAACAAAACAAAACAAAACAAAACAAAACAAAACGTTTAGGACTAAAATTATGCTTCTTTATGTTTTCTAGGCTTTTGAGGCCTGTTAGTGACAGACAAGTCCGTGTTTGTTTTTTGTTTTGTTTTGGGGTTTTTTGTTTGTTTGTTTGTTTTTATGTGGAAGCAGGATTATCTTATTACTAAGTGCTTTCTGCTTACAGGAAAGCTGTAATAAATAATAGGCCACTGCTGGGTGCACAGGGGTAAGTGCATTCTTGGGGAATCAAAGATGGGGAGGTTTGGGTGGAAGGAAATTTCTTACAAACATAAAAAGTGGGTTGATTTCCATCTCCCTGGGTAGCCTTGCCTCTAAACTGGAACTTGAAAGCATCAGAGAGAAAAAGCTTGGGTTCCTTTTTATTTATTTATTTTTTTAATTTAATTTTTTATTTTTTTAATTGATTTTCTACAGAGAGGAAGGGAGAGGGATAGAGAGTTAGAAACATCGATGAGAGAGAAACATTGATCAGCCGCCTCCTGCACGCCCCCCACTGGGTATGTACCTGCAACTAAGGTACATGCCCTTGACCGGAATCCAACCTGGGACCCTTGAGTCCGCAGGCCAATGCTCTATCCACTGAGCCAAACTGGTTCTGGCAGCTTGGGTTCCTTTTATTGACATCCCTACCTGGGATACCTCAAGGGGCAGCTTTGTGCCCACATGAGTGTCTCCCATCAACCCCCACCTGATGTGAGGGATTCTTAAATCCTGAGTTCTGTCCAAGGCAATGCCCCAGACAAACACAGGATGTTCTGTCCTGGCTTATCAGCCTTCCTACCCATATCTTGCCTCTTTTCTGCCATGTAGACAGGTATGCAAAACTGAGACTGTGGTATGTTTGAAGCCTGTTTTGGTTTTAAATTTCCTTTTTCACAGAGTAATACATCTTCACTATGGATACTTTTTAAAGATACCTATATGCATAAAGAAGAAACTACAAGCTGCTAGTAATGCCTTACTCCCACAAGTAATGATTGTGAACGTTTTGGAATCAATCCTTACATCCTTCGGATTTTTTTCTTACACGCACATCTTACAATATTTATTTAAGAAATGAAATCATGTTACACAGATTGTTTCATAACCCAATTTTCTCATTTTACACACATCAAAACCAAAAATAATTTTAACATCAATAAATAGAAATCATTCTACAACATAGTTTTACGTGGGCACCTGCTATTTCATTATACGGATAAGTTCCAGTTTATTTAAGCAGACCCTTATTTTCAGACATTTGGTTTCCCATCTTGCCCTGTAATAAACATTTCTAAGAAACATCCTAATTTCGCTCTCATTGGTACTCGTCCCCTTAGGAAAGTCTACTCAAGTGCAATGTCTGTGTCAAGGGCTCTGTACACCATCACCGTTGTTGGTGGGCTTTGTAAAGGTGTCCTCAAGAGGGAAGGCAATTCTCACTAATACTCCAAATGTGAATATATCAGGACATTTATTTCCAATCACTATTACCAGCTCTAGTAAATGTTTTGGTCAGTTTAATATCATTTAAAATGCCTGGGCCTCCATACCTTCCTCCACTCATTGGGTCTTGTAGAATGTACTCACTCTCAAGGGGATGTGGTGAGGATTCAGTAGGTGCTCACAGTTGACTTAAGCTCATTTTGAGAACCCACCTTGGAGAAGTAGCTCACTGATGGCCTGTACATTTGCACTCTTAGAGACTGCAGGAGGATGGGGTTACTTACAGGACAAGAAGGATGGGATTACTTACAGGTCAAGGTGATTGCCTGCACTCTGAGGGCTGTCTCTCATCAGGTGGAGAGAAAGAGGTGCCTCAAGAACTTTTAAATCAACTGGAAGTAGTGGGAACCAGGTGG